GAAAGTAGAGATTTCAAGCTGTAAAATGCTTTTTTGAACATCTCGATACGATCATTTTTGACGAAGTTACACTCTTTTGAATTTTGCCTATTTTTGGAGGGTAGAGTAAGTGATGCTTTAATTTTGTTGAGAAGTGTATATATTAATTTTTAGTTTTTACAATACAAAGGGTACGTACAACGCAAAAGAAAATTATGACAGTTTGTGACGCGAATCGATCAGAGCCATTTAGAAGTCTCGAAGGACTGTACGCCTTCAGCTCTCAGTCGATTAAGAATAGGTCGATATATATCGGGTGTAAAAGGCAGCACCATTCCACGTTGCTGAATTTCACCTAAATAAAATTAGATTGTAAGAACATTAGAATCAACTCGATTGAACATTTAATTAATATATAAATACATTACGTAATTCATAATTTATGAAATAAATTAGTATATAAATTATTTAGATAAATATATATATATATTTTAAATTGCGGTAAATTTATATTTTTAAAAAGTTTTCGGAATTTTTTTTTATAAGTTTACTTGAAATATTCTTGGAATTTCTATGCATTCGCACATTTTCTATGTAATAATTTAATCACCTAAACATTTATGTTTTTTTGTTGTAATGAAAATTGTAATATGAGAATTATATTTGAGCGACAAGAAAAGTAGCCAATAAATGGTAATTTTAATTTAATTGAACAGATAATTCATATCAAAGGAGAGCTACAAACCATCCAGAATCATCTTGACGGCGATAGCCGCGGGATAACCGACGGTACGCGCCATTGCAGACTGTCCAGATGCGTCACCATATATCACCAAGTTGATCCCTCTGGATTCCCTCCTGTTATCTGGCCAAAGTATACCTACGTCGTGCCTTAGTATCACAAGATCGCGCTCGTTTTTCTCGTAATAGAGCTTCTTCGACAAGTAATGCGTGAGCGTATCGAGAGGGGTGTTCAGTTTCAAGACCAGGTCCTCTTCCAGAAGACCCAGTTCCTCGATGGCCTTCACGCGCTCCCACGAGTTTACCCTTTCCGCCAATTTCTGCTTCAGATTCCCGTAGAAGATGTTGTCGTTCGCCAGGCCGAGCAAGTTGCACGCCAACACTCGCTGGAATATAAGCGACGAGTCAGATCGAGTCAGATCAATATTTTCCTTGCTTCCGAAATATTCCGCGTATAGGTGAAAAACTGAAAGCACGTACCCAGGTGATGTCTGGTCCGTTCGGGTGTAAAATCGGATGCGGATTAGGATCGATCAGACCGAGCAATTGCAGGCCCAGTATCGTATCTGAGAATCCCTTGAACCTGAGTGTACCACGCAGCATGGTACTCGCGTTTTGCAAACCGTAATAATCCCTATATATCGTGCTGTCACGATTGGGGAAGCCTTCCAAGGCGAAGCCTGGGAGGAAGTCCAAGTCCTGTACGGTGGACATCAAATCGCCGCCTCCCGCAATTTCTACTTCCTGCAAAGAGAATATGTATGTGTACCGCCGATGTAATTCTTTTTAAATAAATTTTGTTGGACTTTATGAAGAATGAATCATCCCAACTAATATTAAATATTTTTGAAATGTTTACAGAATATTCTTGATATTGCATGAACATTTCAAGAATATTTAGTATTGCTTGGGATTTCTTTTAAATAACTATGAAAAATACTTTAATAGCTCACCTGACCCTCGTGAAGGTATTTCGCTGGCGCTAAGGTGTTTAGCAGTGCACCTCGTGGAGACCAACTGAATTTATATCTCAGAGGATTAGAGGAACACTCCGGCGCGGGTAGTCCACCGCACCACGAGACAAAGGACTCTATCTTGCCGCCCGCTTGTCTCACATCGTCGAAACATTCGATCGCTAAGAGATGATCGATGCCCGGATCCAATCCGACTTCATTCAGTACGGTCACGCCAGCTTCTTGAGCTCTGTTCCCCAAAAAAGCAAGATTTTGATTTATTGTTAATCGATATTTTAAGTGAATACATCTGACGTCATACTATGACGATAAATAATTTCTTTTTATTGAACACATTTTAAAAATATATTTATTTTAAAGACATACTCTAATTACAAAAAAATAAGAACTCTTATAGTAATATTCACCCGGAAATTAGAAGATTTTATTAAAATGTATTCGTTGCGCTTAATTAAGATTTTGCGTCAAACATACAATCGCATAAAATTTTATATAGAATTTTATATAGAGACACGCGATGGTGCATTTAAGATATGTGAATTCGTTAGCATCAATGCTTACTCTTCGTGTAACGCCTTGACGTCATCGTTCATATAGCTCGCTGTCACCAGGTGATTCTTGGTTTCTATACAAGCTTTAGCGATGACGTGATGCAATGAGTACGGCAGAAGAGAGACGACCACATTCGCCGATTTTATTACATCGTGCAACGTGTCGGGACGATCTAGGACATTCAGGAAGACTGGCTCCACACCTGGGAATCGATTGGCCAGCGCGTCAGCCTCGTCCTTCAATTGTGACGCCACTACCAGTCTTATATTCTTATCCCTATGCAAATATTCGACTAAAGGTGCGGAGACGTATCCTGCGCCAAGAACGACCACCTGTTGGCACGTTGGCATGGACAAACAAAATTGTGATTCCGTAATATCGTTAATTTCTGCATCGCTTTAAATTTATTACCAGAGCCTAGAAATTGGATTCCTTCTAAATTGTTAATATTTTTATTATATTCTACAACGTTTCAGCAAATATAAACATCAAAATTGCAGAATTTTCTTTATATCAGATTGTTATCTGTTTTAAACAGGGTTGGACAAGTTAATATTTTTTTTAACTAACAATAAGTTAAGTTAAAGTTAACAGTCTTCAAAATTTAATTTAGTTAAGACAAGTTAATCCATAATAAAATTAATTGAATTAAAAGTTAAGTTAATATAAAAAAGTAATTAAAAAGTTAAAAGTTAAATTTTTATTATTTTATAATTTTAGAGTTTCTAAATAAAGTATATTTGTTATATTTATTTCTGTCAAGCCGTAGAAAAAGGACCGATTTCGAAGAACTTCTAACATGATTTAATGCATAGAAGATCCGCGAACAGTGATTCCTTCCCGCGGCCAGACTATATTTATTATATTATAACAATTGCCTTGATGTGCGTTCTCAAATTTGAGTTTGAAAACACCAACGCAGATATGTATTTTATTTTGGGTTTACAAGAAGCACTAAAAATGTAACTAAATTAAGTTAAAAGTTAAGAGTCTTAAATGTATCTTTGTAAGTTAAGTTAAAATTATTTAATTTTTTAACTTAACTTTTAACTAGGCACTATCCAACTTTGGTTTTAAAGATATGAAATACAAAAAAGATATTATAGCGACGAGTATACGAAAGGAAATGTTTTACCGTTTTGCTCTGTTGTTCTCCGTTATCAGCTTTGTGCTTGCTGCGTTGATTCAACTGTCGGAGTTCTTGGATGTATTCGAAATTGGGCGTCAATTTCCCGTTGGACGCGATAATGGCACCGTGCACGGCAGGACTGAAGTTGTGCTCATCCAACGGCTTTTTCGCGTCAGACTGTATGATGTCCAAAGCGTACGGATATAAAAGATTGCCGAAGAAATCCGTCGCTTCCTTTGGCAGTTGCGTAGGCATATTGTCGATCGAGCAAACCAGCACGCCGGGGCCCTTGAAAGATTTCGTGTCCTTGTTCCGGTCAGCATCGTATAGACAAAATGGCGTGTCGATCGTCGTGCACTCGTTCATGAATCTTGTGTAAAAAAATTAATAATTGGATAATAGTAATAACTTAGTTGCCGTTAAAAAATGAAAATTGAAAAGCATCCATGTAATATTTACTTAACCAATTTGAAAAGTTTAAAAGGAAAAATGTACAGTGCCAACAATTCGTGAACTTTAATATTATCATAAGTTATTAATATTATATAATTGTATAAATGATTATTATAAATATTAATATTTATAAAGCAGGATGTAAAAAAAGTTGTAGCTGTTTTTTGGCTAATATGAAAAAGTTCTGATACATGTATAAATTATATATATTAAAAGGCTACTTAAGCGGAGTCGAATGATATATCATTTATCTTGAGAAAACATCGGGAATATGGAAGAAATCGTGATCAAAGTCAATAAAAATCTAATGCTATATTTATTGACAAAAAGTTGTTAAATAAGACGTTAAGATCGTAAATTAAGCAACAAGGACTCTATTATTTGTTATTAAATAATATAACTTGGAGAAGATTTTCAAACGATTGACGAACGGCAAAGAGTGATACAAAATAATCGTTTGGTTTCAAATTCTAGCTTTGAATAACGGACATACGTATTGTTATATTACCTGTTTAAATTCTTGAATCTGATAGAGTTTTTTATTGTCTTTGATCACAGTTATTTTTCTTATATTCTCGATGTATATCCAGAATAAGCGATATACAACTCGATTTCTCTTAAGTAGTTCTTAACATGATATATGTATATGTAATTTGTACATATCGGAATTTTTTCATGTTAGCCAAAATAACAGTCGAAACATAACATCCTCCTTATCTGATATGATTCTATAACTATAGAGTTAATAAGTTATAAATTAATAAATTATTATATAATCTTCCTTATGATTGTAACTAAATAGTAGTTATTACAAAATTTTATAACTTTTTTGGAAACTTTTACGCTCTCCTGAATCTCTAATAAATCTGAGTACACGTACTCGATGCTGCCGCCCGGATCCGCGGATATGTCGCAGATACCGAGCATCCTGTGCGGCAAGGCGGGCGCGCCGACACTTATCGGCAGCCATGGTGTATTAGCGGGTCTGAGGAGATACTTCGCGTCAGGTATTGTCAACAGCTTCGGCGAATCCACCGCCCAGTATATGCCATTGATGATCACCGAAGCATACGGCGCTATCTTTTTGCTGAAAGTGGAGATATATAGTTCCGGATGCTGGTCGTACTCCTCAGGATCGAAACCGCCATCCTCCTTCCTCTCTAGGTGATGCCTGCGCCTCACTTCACAGCCGTATATCTTCGTCATATCTGGAACAGTTTGAAGAAGATATCAAACATTGATAAGAGATACCGCCGTGATAAATATTCTTGTTTACTGTAAACGACGTTAGATTCCACGATTGTGTAAAGAATTCTATCATGGAAAAATTGAAGAAACATATACATATATGCAGTGATGTAAGAATGGCGCAGGGACACGCCTCCCTAATCACGAAGCTATTAGAAGATCGTAATCGTACAGCGCGATACAATATATGATTACTTAATAATTACATATAATGATTATGATATTTTATTTCGAAAAAAAAATAATTTCAAACTATTGAAAATTTTTCTTAGAATTCTTCATATATTTTTTCCGAATTTTTATATTAGAACTTTTTAAAATATTCCCGTTTAATTTTATAACTTTTTAAAATATTCCCATTTAATTTTATAACTTTTTAGAAAATTTCTAAAGTTTTTTTTAAAATTGAAACGTTTTTTTAGAAATGCTGAAATTTTTCAGAAAGTCTACATTTTTTCTAGAATTCTTTATAAGTATATAAGACTTTTTAAATTGTCTAAGATTTATCATTCTATCATTTCCGAAGAAGATTTATAAAATTTGAAGAAATATAAATATTTAAAAAAAATCTTCATAAATTTAAAATATGACCAATTCTGAAAAATATTATGGGATATCATAAGAATTATTTTCACCAGTGTAAATTAAACCGCAGCAATAAAAATACAACCGTGCGCTGTAGTAGGTATTTATTCTGCAGTTTAAAGAATTATCTCACGAGTCGCGAGAGAGCGGGTTGAAGAGAGGTAAAGTTTCACATCGGAATCAGCACAGATGATGATTACGATGTTTACGAGAGGGCTCGACGACTATAAAGCGATAAGGCGTTTTTGCGAGTTGCGAAACGCGAACAAAGTGACGTCAAATTACAAATAACATACCGCCGTGCTCGGCGACTTTCCGCAACATTTCGGGCGGCACGTATTCATGGGGCAGCTCCTGGAAGACCTCCTGACCTCCCTGGCTAACGTTACCACTGCCTGAGAAGACAAAGGTCAATGGGCCGATCGATTTAGGCATAGCGCCCAGCGCAATTTCGTATCCCGCGCCGCGGATCGCTTGACGTGCCATAGCTGAGTCCCGATAATTATGTGCCGGTCCGATGTGCTAATCAAATTATTGTGATTAATTAGTCTGTTATACTGCACTTTTTAGAAGTCGCACACTGAGAGAGAAAAAGATTACAGTTCACATAAAGATCAAAATCAGGACATAAGTCTTCGTTAAAGAAATCTAAATTATGAAAGACGTCTTATGTCCCGATTTTGGACTTTATGTTGTCCGGGATGATTGCAATTGTCATAATTTAATTAAAATGTATAGTCATTTTCAGTGCCAACTACTTATTTGTTTAGTTATTAGTAGAATCATATAATTCTAAATTTTTCATAATCTATCATCATACATTAATCTATTGTTTAAAGAAAAATGCAGAAGAAATTCTAATTTATCAATTTAATATAAATAAAAAAATTGTTTCTCTCAGAATATAATGTATATAATTTTACATTTTCTGTTTTTAATTCGAATAAATATAAGATTGAAGTTATTGTAAACAACAAGAATGTCTATCAATTCAATTTAATATTTAATAGTTTAATTGAATGAATTCAATGAGAATATTTCAACGTAACGTTTAATTCAGCTCATTGAAAATTCCAAGGTGTAAATTGAATATTTACAATTCTAGAATATAAGCGTACCATGAATGGTGTATGGTGACCCAAGGCCAGCAGCCTCAGACCCAAACCGTGAAGTATGTTCACCATGCCAGCGACTCCGGCATATTTGCCGAAAGCCACCACCCTCTGGCCATTTGCGTCCGTAAGCTTCTCGTAGTCCAGCAGACGTATGTTCTTCTCCTGGATCGCATCCAGGAGCTGCATATTACTCTCCTGGGCCTTAATGGTGTGCGAGAAAAAGCAATATGTCTTATTGGGTATCAATTGGTCCACGGGTACTTGTTTTACGCCAAAGATGACGGAGGCTGAGCTGATGTCCTCCTGCAGCAGGGCGCCCGCCGCCTGGTAGGCTTGGGCGGGATATGCCCTTCGGTTGCTGGGCTGCACGATCACTTTCACGCCCGATCTGACGAGGCGGCGAACATTGGCCGGGGCTAACGGTGCTCTCCTTTCCCATACTGACTGGTCTTCCCGCCTTATAGCTATTACTTTGCCCTTAAGATTCTAAAAAAATTTTATGCAAAGGAACATTCAATTAATTAGCATTCTTTGCACATCGGTGCAATAATGGTTCGTCTAAAAAAATTAGTTACTTTTGTTACTGATTCTTCAGAAAAGAATCCAGGTAGAACATAGAATCAAATAATGTGATGACGTCAATCGTTTAATTTATTAATACTTGTGACTTAAGTTATAAATAACAAAAAAATAATAATTAACGTCCTTATAATATCATTTAACTTTATATGATTTTTGTGTTTTATCTGAGGAATCATCTCAGACCAGTGGACATTTAAATCGAGCAACGAAAAGACTTTTTTTAATTTAAAGCCCGATTTCGGAAATTCAAAATTCAGTTTTTTAATTGAATAAATTTCTATCGAATTTTTCCCTCTATTTTCATTTGTTTTTTTCCAAGAATGTCCGCGGGCGATGTCCAGCGTCGGTGCGATTGATTATACGAATCAAAATTATATCCCACGTGGAACGTATTATTTTAAACATAACTAGATGCTTACACTTATACATCTGATATTACGGGTGACAGCACGAGTCGCAGCGGTCAGTAGATGACGTGAATCACGTCCAGCCTCGATCAAGCCTAACATCCGCATCACACCTTGGCCGATGCTGATCGTAGCAGGCGTGTAAAGGTCACCGTTGTCGAGAGAAGGTCCGAGAGGAATTCACCAGTTGAAACCAATTCGCAGCGATCGCGCCGACTGGAATACGAATCTCGCTTGTGTGTTCAAACTGTTTGTTAATGTTTGAACCAAGTCGCGGCATGTACTGCTAAGTCTATGTACTACAGTACTACACTATACCGCACACGTATGTGTCCGTTTGAGTTTGGGTCAGTGCAGATGTCAGAAAGTATTACAAAATCATCGATAAGCTCAGAAGCACGCTCTTATCGGTATCGTATGACCCTCTTGATCACCGTACTGGTGGTTGGACCATTGAAAGTTTACGGAAAAAAAATTCCCGGAAAAATCCGTTTTTCTTCTCACGCGCCGTTTATCACCGCCGGTCTGATAATGATGACACGCGCGCGCCATGAGTATATAATCGTACACAATACTACAATAGACTTGTCAAGCGTATGAAGCGCTAGTGCCCCATATTTCTTAATCACTTTATTTAAAGAGATTGTGGAGTTGAATTAAAAGGATATATTCTAGTGTTTTGCAATTTTATTGTATTATACACAGGTATCTCTCTTTGTGAAATTAATACAAACAACATTGTGTAACTGAAACAACACTGTGCAATTTGAAGCAATCGTAAACAACTTAATGCCGCATGTGCGAACTGAAATCAGTTGGATTGCGCTTTGATTGATAGATACATTTTGTTCTTGATAGTTTGCTTCGTGGGATTTATCTTTTTCAGTATTTGAGTCATAATGTTGACAAGCTGCTCGGATGTAAGACCAGTCTTCTTGGATTTAAATTTCTGCAGTAACTCGGTCGTTGTCATAGGCTTGCGCATTAAATACCGCCTCACCGCATCCTCCGTAATTCCCGATTCGCTGAAAGATGTAAAATAATTATTATAATAATTATAACAAATATAATTACATTATATAGTTATATACAGGATGTCCGTAAAGTCAGTTACCATCTTTTTTATTTGGAAACGGTTTTAGATACAAAAAAATGTTTCAAACAAGAGTTGTTTGACTTCAAGGGGGGCATAAAATGGTACCATTGGTTTGATCTTGGGTGGCGCTGTCAAGGTCGGGGGAAATTCACTTCAAATTTTTTAAATGGAACCCCCCCATTTTTTATTACATATTCTTGTAGCTTATCTCGAAAGCTTTCCAAAACACATAGATAAAATATTTTTTGATTAAGTAAATCTTGAGTTATGAAGCTTGAATGTTGCAGTATCGTCGGCATTAGCATTATCTAAGGTGTCCGAACACTGGTTAAAACCTTTTGTCCTCCTTGAAGTCAAACAACTTTTATTTGAAACATTTTTTTGTATCTAAAGCCGTTTCTAAATAAAAAAGGTGGTGACTTTACGGACATCCTGATATAGTTATATATATAATTATATTATATAGTTATATGTGTATATCGTCTATCGCAAAGACAAAGGACATACTTTGCTCCCGGTATATATGACGTTACTGGAACCAGGTTGAAGTTATCGAGTTTTAACTTTTTCGCTTGCGACAAGTCTGGAGATCCAGATTGATTTCTCTTAAGAGAATCCGAGACACCGGATGCTGCGGGTGTTGGCGTTGCAGATCTCGAGCTATGCGCGCTATTGGGCTTCTTGTTATCCTTCTCTTTAAGCGTTGTATCTGAGTCAGATTCTGAGTCGCTGGAGAAATCGCTGGATGAATCCTTTCCCGATGCCGATTTCTTCTGATCCTTTTTCTTGGCTTTCTTCTTCTTCTTTTTGTCTTTCCTCTTGTCCATTTCTTTGCCAAGTTTATCTTTATCCTGAAACAAAGTACATTAGAAATTAGGACAAAGTAGTAAACATACGTGATAAATGCGATGAAATAATTTATATCGTTAATCGTTTAAAGAATACAGAGAAGTAACAGTGTATCAATAATGATAATATATGTCATAACAATATGTTACGTTACTTTATCATCCTTTTCTTTTCCTTCCTCATCTTCATCCTTATCTTCTTCGCCATCTTTCTTGTCTGGTTGTTCCTCGTCGTCTTCGTCTTCGTCAGACACGAGCAATTTTCTCAACGCATCTTCTTCCGCGACAGACTTAACTTCCTTCTGCGGTTCTGATTCTGATTCAGAAGCAGAGGAATCGGAAATATAATCGCATTCCCTTCCCTCCTCGTCGCCATCATCGCTTTCCTCGAATGCTTCATCGTCCGAGACGTTTTTCTTCTTTTTCTTCTTTTGCAATTCAGCTGCGATATTTGATTAAATTATTGTATTTGTTTATACACATAATGCGATCCATAAGTTTTTGTGACCAATTATTTTACGGCAATACCAATAATGCCACCTACAAATTACTATCTGAACAATATACCTATTAATATAATAATTATAATTCTTAGCTAACTGTATGTAAAATTTAAATAGTCTACGATTAGGACAATTAGTTAATATCGAGTATGTTATTTTGTGGAGCGTGTTTCTTTCACTACATTATAAATTCAAAAAAGGAGCAATGTTTCGCTACAAAATTTTGTTTTAAAGCCAGTTTATCTGCCAAATAGCAAATTCGAAATGATGTAAAAGACTTATTAAAATAGAGCACTAATTCGAGCAAACTTTTTTTGATGGCAGAGAGCCAGATTGCCGAAATCTGGCATGCCATCAAAAAATGTTCACTCGAACAAATGCTTTATTTCTATAAATCTTTTGCATCATTTTAAATATTTATTATTTCGCAAATAAATCGGCTTTAAACAAAAATTTTATAACAATTTTATATCTTTTATACGTTGCTCTTCCTTTGAATTCAACTGAAAAAGTACAAAGCAATAACTCAAAATCAGCTAAATTGTACACTGTTTAAATTTTACATATAATAGCTAAGAATTACAGTTACATCATTCAGGCAATAATTTATAGATAATGTTATTTCCATTAAAAAAATTTAATTTCAAAAGTTATGGATTACACTGTGTACTTTTATTATATAAAAATGAATATCTACAATTATAGATATAAATTTCGTTTATTACCTTTATCTTTCTTTTTCTTTTTTCCATCGTCCTCATCTTCAGATCCTTTCTTATTCTCCTCTTCATCACTGCCTGATTCATCATCGTCGCTGTCCATCCATTCATCCATCTCTGATATTTTCAATTCTTTCTCCTTCTTACCCGGTCTCTTGCCTTTACTACCTTCCACCAGTTCCTCCTCGTCTCCACCATCCTCGTCATTTCTCAATCTCTTGCGTAACATCAGTGTGAAATAATTTATTACCTTATTTCTACGACTAAATTCCTGTTCTGCCTCCTCGGCGCTGAGGGCCTTGTACCTCTGAATCGGCTGAAAGTTATACCTATACGTGGAAGTTTGATTTTTTGAGTACGAGTATTTTACCAGTAAACAATCAACAATACAAGATGCTTACCATTCGTGTAAGGGAAAGGCTTCTATGGCACCGTCAGCAGCATGAGTGAAGACATAATACGCAGCGTTTTCACTAATTCCACCTTCGCGAATGCCTTTAAACTTCTTTCCAGTTTTTCCTCCCGATTTTAAAATCCATGGTTGATCCTCAGGTTTATATTTTCTACTGGTAATGCCATACTTCTTTCTCCTAGCTTCCTCTCTAGCGTCACGCCCAAATTCGGATCCAGCGCCGAATTTTGGCATTTCTTCTTCCATACCCTTGTACTCCTTCATATTATTCTCCCGTTCCATTTTCACTTGAGTCCATTTTGAAAAATCTACGTTCAGCGTTGCATTAAATCTCATGACATTGTGCTTCTTTTTGCTATTTCTAAAAAAAAACCCAGAAATTAACTTCGAATATCATGATATCTCAATCAAATATTACAATTGTTATATTACAACAATATAATATTACAACAGACATAAATGAGGAATGTATTAACAATACTAACTTTGGTACCCTAATACTGAATTCTTGCACGGATGATGCAACTGAAGGCTGAAAAAGAGATCAATGTATAATATCACTGTAAAAAGTGACGTAATTCTTACTTTTAAAATAATAATATATATAATGCATTTTCCTTCCAGACAGTAACATAACCTACTTCATTGTTCCAGCTATAACCTATCAAACTTACCTTTGAAACTGTATTTGTATTCATTGTCGTAATTTAATGAAAAAACTTTCGTATAATTTAACACTGCATTTACATGAATGTATTTTTGACTTGTAACAATACGACGTATACAATTAAACGAGATCCACAGGCCTCCAACCTCAACGCCTTCAACAGGCTCAACAGGCTCAAGCAGACTCAACTGATTCAAGTGACAGAAAGGCTCTGTGGCAAGTGACTCAACAGGCTCGGCTCAACTCGGCTCAAGCAAGCTGCAAGGTCTGCAATACAAGTGAAGCAAGTCAAGCAAATTGTAGTATAATACTCTAAATTTTAATTTTAATAATAATAGTACTAGTAGTAACAATCTTTACGGCAAATAAGGCATGTAGAGGGGATCAACTGAGCCCACGTGACTCACATTCGCGTACGGCATACGCGATGTGAGTCACGTGGACTCAGTGGATTCTCTCCACAATGTGCAGGACTCCACATGCCAATTATTTTGTCAAAATTCACGTTTACACGACAACGGTAATTCGATTTTTAGTATCAATAGTAGTTATAATTGTTAAATGAAATATCATATGAAATGCTAAATCTAGTTTTATTGATAACTGCAGGTGTTATAAAATCGGATTTACCTAGCGTTTATACAATATATTTTACGTCAGTAGTTATAATTTATTTTAATGTTAGTTATAACTATGAATTTTACAAAATCTAATTGATAAGCTGATAACGTGCAAATTACATAATCAATGTTACATGTAGTTACACGTTTTGACATCTGCCTCATCAACTTCGTTTAGTCGGGTTTCAGAATGTTCAAATTATAGATTCACTCATGACAGAAATTAAGGCTAGCTAATCACGTGTCTAATTATAGTAATAGATTTGCTATATTGCTGAATGTTAAACTGAAATCCTTACATAAGATGTTTGGTTAATTTTTTTGCTTCCTCTCTGTATGTATATACGTAAATACATATACATACATACGTATTTTGAATTTCGGAACTTAAAGGCCATCACACATACAAAACATTGACCAATCACATCAGTAGTATTCTCAAACGTAAAATCGCAATGTAGATTAATTGTGGTTAGTTGATTTGCTTGCGGCCTACGATTAAAACTTTTTTACTGTGATGATCTTACTTATATGATGTATGTATATATATATATATAT